CCCCACACACACACACGCACTCTGGGCCTCCTGGCTCTTTCTGCAGCCTTTAACTACATGTACTACTACTGCCACTCATTGACTCCTTTTATCTGACTGCTGTCTTTCAGTCACCTGACCTTATGGTAAGTAAGATCTAACACCTAGCCTTCTCGGATAAGGGCGAAAAATTTCGGAGGTCCCGTGTGTAAGTTGCGCAAGTTAATTAAGGATCCCTTCGTATTCTTAAAATCAAAAGAGTAGGCTAGGCTTTGGCCCCCACCTGGGCAAAATTAAAAATTCCTACCAAAGTGAAAAAATTTAGTGTGCCCGGCCTGTTCATATGAGACCTATATGCTGTCGCAGGCGCCGTAAAGCGCTTACCCCCCCCCCCCTCCAAAAAAAGAAAAGAAAAGAAAACACGCTATAAAAGTGTTTCAAGTGATCTGAATTTAAAGAATTTTTGGGGATCACCCAGTATTGATTTCCCCTTTAATTCTTCATCAGTTTGAGAGTGAGTGGGCATTGAAAATTCACTGATAAGTTCCATTTTTAAAAAGTTAAAAATTACATTATCATCGTCTTCATACTCACACACACACACACACACACACACACACACACACACACACACACACACACACACACACACACACACACACACACACACACACACACACACACACACACACACGCACACACACACACACTCTCTCTCTCTCTCTCTCTCTCTCTCTCTCACACACACACACACACTGTAGACCTGGAGAATGCATCCGTAGGCTATGTACCGTGGCGCTTCGACTCCTCCTCTGCGGAACTGACTAGATAGAGTAGTGAACCATTTGTAGTATTTAATTCTTTTTAAAATTGAAGCTTCTCATCAGAATCAAACCAATCCAAATATGCCAGGCAAGATTCAAGTTTATTGTATGAAAACTAGACTGCATCCTAGATCAGAGTAGTCCACCTAAGAAAAGGCACTCAAATGCCTTCCGTCTTAATTATCTCTTTAATTTTTTTTATTTTATTATTTTATTAATTTGTTTGTTTATTTATTTATCAGTTGCGACCGCCGTAAAACCTCTATTAAAACTTTTTAAAAAACTTTTCTTTTTTCTTTTTTCTTTTTTTTTTTTTGGGGGGGGGGGGGGGGGGGTAGATGTGGGATGAATGTCATTTAACTATCCAAAAAAGATTTTAATTTTAAAATCTCCAGTAGATGTACTTTCTCAAAACTGTTAATCAATCAAGCACTTTTCTCTTTTATGAAATGAAACTAAAGGAGTAGACCTAGATCTATATTCTATATAAATCTATGAATTTTGCAACATTTAACTGCACACGTGAGAATAATATGGGCCTCCACAGTGTATTATTTATTGTGAGCCCCGGTCTATAGTATAGGCCTACCTGTAAAACTCTGTGTTACAATCTAAGTTTTTCGCACTCCTACCAAAAAGTTATAATATATTTCTGATGTAAAAGATAAAAATGGGTAATGAATTTAGAATTATCGGAAGGCTGACTTTGGTTCTCAAGATAGTAAGTCACCTATACGTGTACCATGGAAATGCATTGTCACAATTGTGCGCTGAGCAATTTGAACTGTGGAAATTTGCATATTGAACAATTCTAGTGCTGAATGCTGTGCCCATGCTGTTTACTGTTCCAAACCCTCCAAAATAAATAATTATTGTTCCCTCCAGGCCAGTTCCAAAGGATACAGGTCCTGTCCATGACAAAAGATCAAGTGTCTGCAATGTGATTATGTGAGAGTTTTGAAGAAGAAATTAAAAGCGGAAAAAACAAACCTTGACATCTAAGAAGACTGCTGTAATAGATCTACTACGGAATACATGTAACAAAATTAAAGAGACAAAGAAATTACAAAGCTTACTTAATTAATTAAGGAAGTGCTAGCTTGACCCTGTCAGGACCACCCTTGAAGTTTGTAATGTCCCAAATTTATGTGCCTGACAGAGAAGTATGGACAAAAGAATCAACAAGAGACAATGCATAAGGCAAAGCAGTCTAAGATTAGTAAGAAAGACTGTCACATTCACCCACTTGTAAGAGCCAGTTTCAGTAAAGTGCTATTAAGCCATGAAAGATGCATAACGTGTTCATATTATATAATATTGATTATAAAGGCCCCTGGTGGGTTCGATCTGTCGCATTGTATTCCTGATTTTATTCATATGCCTAGCCTACACAAAACGAAATCTGTTTTCTTTTTCTACAGTTTGTTGCATTTCCTCATCATTGCCTATAGGAGATCTATATGCTATTGCATGCTCTCTTTCTTTTCTCGCCAACTCTTCCCTACCCACAGTACAGACCCCATGTATGGCTAATATAATGTAACTAATTAATAAAATAAGTAAAAATGTATTAAACTTTATTAGGCTATCTTAGATTAAAACTGCTTATGTTGCAAGCAAGATCAAAGTTATATTTAGGCTAAGGCAGGCATATTTTTATTATGCTGGAAGCCTACAGATCTAGATCTAGATGACTTATGTAACTACTGACACTGACTAGATTTTTTAGATTAGATCTCTCGAATCTAGATCTAGATAATCTAGATGTAGATATGTAGATGTAGATCTAGATCTAGTTTTCGGTCTACGTTATCAAGACATGTATTGGCTTTATGCCAGATCAACATTATTTTATAACTAGGCCTGGATCTAGA